TATTTTAAAACAGCTTAAACTGGAAAATGTTAAACAGTTTAAAGCGTCTACGTTTCGCGCTAATCTTTATTATGATGTTGTCATTAAGGATTTGATACCCGGATCCCCGGAGGTGAGTCTCGTCTGATAATTAACTTTGTTTATTTTTTTCCTCAAATTGGTCAGAGGTTCATTTACTGTTGTTTTCGCTAATAATATTGTGCTTATTCCGAATAAGTGAGCACAGTAGGTTCCACTGATAAACTTTGGCAAACTCGGTAAATTCTTTAAATATGTGTTACGAGGAAGTAGAATAGCAAACCCTTGTTGCACCTCAACTGTGTAAGTCTTACTTATTTTTTTCCAGAAACATTTAGCTCTTTTTTTGTTACAAGCTCTCACGCGTACGAAGAAACTCGCAGGGGACCTGGTAAAGAACTCACAGAAAGAAATAAATTTATTTGATAGCGTGAAAAAGAGAGAGTGTCACGGAGAGCGCATAGTAAGTATTTTATGCTCTAAACCTAATGCTTTTTTATATGCAAATTTTGTAAAAACTTATCATACAGATGAAGCTTTCAGGAATTTTTCTCCTGTTGTTTTAATAATTAATTACAGTTTAGAAGTGAGCCATTAAGTAGTTAGTTACTGCTTTTTTTTTTTTTTGAAATTTGTTGATCATCAGTATTACTTTAACTTTTAAATGGCTACTGGTTTTTTAGTTTTCGGGTAGCGCTATTGTTTACTGTCGTACACGTGAAGAGTGTGAGACCATGGCAAGAAGGCTTACTGAAGAGAAGGTTCCTGCGTTTGCTTACCACGCTGGTCTGGGCAACAAAGTAGTGTATTTTTTGAGGTTATGAATTGTAGTACTGCAGAAAATGCAAGGGGGACATTAGGCTGGGGGAAGCAGCATTGTTGGTAAATGATGGGTTATTGGAGTATAGTATTTCCTCTGTTAAAGCGGTATGAAAATCCCCTTCAGATGCAATTTTTTCTACTTATTGGACTATTTGAGTTCGTTGGAATACCATGTCAGAAGCACTTCTGTTCAAAACGAAAGCTACAGTTTTTTTAATAGTACAAGCAATAACTGACGTTGCTCTGCTAAGCCAGGCTTGAAAAGTGCTTCTTTATCTGCTAAAATAGACTATATCCTAGATTCGGGACGAGATACAAGATAAATGGATGAAAAATGAGGTACCGGTCATTGTCGCAACTATTTCTTTTGGAATGGGAATTGATAAACCGGATGTTAGGTAAATTTTACTTATGGATTTTTTAATGTTCGGAACACAACTTTGTTAAGATGTTTTAGCTGCCTTTTTTCAAGTTCCACATTTGTTTTTTGATTTATGTTCCTCAAAAGTCCTGTGCACTTACTAATTTTTTTCTTTCGCAACACTGGTGCACCTCATTTACTGCGATAAGAGCTTTCGCATTTAACTTTTAGAGTAGTGGTCCATTGGACATCTTCGTCAAATCTTGCTGCCTACTATCAGGAATCAGGACGAGCTGGACGAGATGGGAAACGTAGTTACTGTCGTATATATTATAGTAGAGGGGACAGGCAATTCTTGAATTACTTAGTAAATCAGGAAATTATAAAGACAAAGGTTTGTTCACATCACTTGTTTTTCCTGCGAGTACTTTAGCCTTTGTTCACTAGTACATGGGTGAAAAATGTACAGAGCTTTCAGCAGCTAATATTTGCAGCTAAGCTTAAATATTGAATTTATTCTTTGAGTGACAACCATTGAAAATTTTGCAAACTTTATACATCCAATATTCAGTTCTTTTTACCAATTTTCAGGCTAAAAAAATTGACAAAAAGCAAATCCAGGAGCAAATTAAAGCATTGCAGCATGGCTTTGAAAAGATGGTGGAGTTCTGTGAAAAAGCTGGGTTAGGTGCTATCTAACTCTACTATATTTTTGCTTGAGTATTGTTTTCTAAAGTCACAGGACGTATTTTTTGTTTCCGTGACTAAATGATCCCTTCACAAATACTTTTCACATTTCAGTTGTCGCCATGCAGCTTTCGCAAAGTACTTTGGGGACGACGATTTAAGAGTTTGTAGAACCAGTTGTGATTACTGTAAAAATCCAAAAGTGATTTTCCATTTACATTACTTTTTCTTTTAGCCATACCATCGTTTTAGACAACTCAATACTTTTAAACTTAGCTCCGCAACCTGATAAGGAAGATCAAAAATAAGTGACTCCCGAAGTTTTTATTTTTTTCGTTTACCTTGAAAAAACTCACCAGACGTTTACTGGTTCTAATTAGGTTGAAAAATAAATTATATTAGTGTTTTTAAAACTCGTTTTCAATATTAAAGTCTATTTCTTCCCCAAACTCTGTCACACCGTTTTCTTGTTGGTACTTATCAAAATTGGATTGCACTTGTTAATGGCATTGCGAGGGTTTTCTTTATTAATACATTTGTTTGTAAACATTTAGTTTATAGTGATGATTGATAGTTGGTTTTGAGCAATTAATCTGACTTTGGAATCTAGAATTTTTTATTAGAAATTTCGTAAATTTAGGACGTTGAAAACACTTTAACGAAGTTTAACAGTGACTCCTATAAATTAGGAACTATGATGTCGCATTCGAGGAAGCGCATTGCAGAGGATGATGATGAACTTTACGAAGGAGGCCGGAATGCTTACAAGTTGCTTCAACATTCATCATTAAATGTTATGCGAGTAATTCTAAATAAGCTGCGGAGAGACCTTTGCATACTTGTTATTCGTTAAGGGGCTACTATGATGTAAACGAGTGCGGGGACGCAGCAACTTTGTTGGAAGCTGAAGAGAGAAAGATGCGGTGTGATTTGGTAGCAAATGAGTTTGCAAAACGGAGAAAAGTATATTTTTTAAATGAACCCATGGTTTTAATATGAAGCAGTGTTGAGCATTTCTGATTCCTGACAGTAGTTTGTTTACCTACATCAAGCAAGTTGGGTGAATTCTTTTTAGGCACACTCTACAGGTCCGTCTGCTTCCAACTCGCGCCTACAAGAAGGTAGTTCCAGTTTAAGTTGACTACTGATTCTTGATTTCTTGTGTCTTTATTTTTTTGTAAGCATTTTTTTTTTCAGATTTGAAAGACGTTCTAATAATTGACCCATCTTCGAAAAACATCCCGAACCTTACTGTCTTTGTAAGGGAGTAGTTTCTTTACTGTCTGTTGCATTACCAATGGCCTTACTTCTTCCAGCCATGAACTTTTAAAGGGACATCTAAAATATTTGATGCGTTTAAAAATTTCAACTTTAGTTGGCATCGCTTAAGAGCCAAGAAGAATTTTTAACGGAGGAAGAAGTTGAATTTTTAAACGCTAAGTGGCGAATTTAAATTTTTATCTGTACATCGTTGATTCACTTGAAAGTTGTTTTTTAGAGAAGGGAGTCTGTTAGGTCTGCTATAGCAGCGGCTTTAATGATGAACCATTTTGGTGAAGATGGAAACGAAATGAAAATTAATACTACATCAGCCCATATTGAGTTTGAAATTTACAAAGCATCGAAAAATTCCACAACATACCAGCACAAGGCGTCTCTCAAGGTATAAATCTTCAAACCTGGTGTCTGTACTGATTATTTCAGATCGAAATTAGACAATTAATTCAAAGGAATGTAAAAGCAAGCTCTTTGCAAGTGTACGTGTTTGTTATGAGTTTTTTTCTCAGGCAGCTGAAATTAAAAGGATGACGAAAGAAAACGAAAAATTTGAACTTTTGCCTGAAGCTCCGAAGGACTCCAGCAAAAATTCAGGAAATCAGTTTGAGGGCTTTAAGTCAGCAGCTTCAATGCTGTAGTCGTAATCACTAGAGATTGCAATAATGTATATCCTGATGTCATTTAATACAGTTTTTTATTCCAAATCTTTTTACTGCACCAAAGTTGGAAGTATTAGAATAAAGTCATTTCTACAGAGTAGTACAATCCCGCATGCTACAGCAGTTTGGAGCAGCATCTGGGAGTAACTGACTGTGGGGAACGGGGAGACGGTTGCAGCAGCAAAGGTTTATATTTATTACAAGTTTCGTAAGATCATTTGAACGGTTTTGCAAGTTGTGTGATTGGTGCAGGACCAGTTCAACCGCTTGTATTTTCTTAAGGGACGGTCGATTTCTCTCCACAAGGCGGGGAGGGGGGGGACGGGGAAGGGATTGGGTGTTGTGGGTCAAGTTTGTGCAAATATTTTCTGTTTGTAGGTGTTAATAATTGTTTACTTTATTATGCGCAGGCCAACCAGCTGTTACTGTCGATATATCGATTACAGAATTCCCTTCTGCTTTTTCACTAAAGTGAGGACAGTTTTTTGCTTTTTTTTTTTTTTGCCTTTCTGTGCTTAGTATAGCAATGAGTGACCTTCCCGTTCCGGACTTCTCGTATGCGCTGAAAGAAGTTTCAAGGCACTTTGCCGAACAGCACTGCTTGCTAGACACAGTACGACACGTTAAAAAACATAAAGTTTATCGCATTGTCCTTCATTGGACATTAAATAATCTTTTGGGCTGGGGTGGAAAGCATTAGGAACTACTAGTGTTGACGACATTATATCAAGAGTATGAAGCATATTCACCATAGAAGGCGGTGGGGGAAGCGATGCTGTGTATTCATCTCGTCTTTATTACAAATGACCCTCAGCGACTGTTCAGGACTGACTTTTGAAAGAAGCAGTGATAAGAAACTAAGGTTGTACAAGGTTTAAAGAACGAGTTGTGAAAAGTGCAGAGATAACCCCATTTCCGAGAAGAACCTGCACTGTTATCAAAACTACCGTCTTCAGAAAATTCATAAGTTACAGTACTGACAGAAGTACTTATTAAAAAACCTTAGGTTTTTGATAATATGGAATCCTTAAGACAGTGAGCACTTCTTAGATCCCTGACTGAAAGCTTAAGCAGTCAGGAAAGGTTGAAACCAAAATATCAACTCCGTGGTAGGCAGTATAAAATTGGTTTGAAACCCTTTTAGACTTGAAGACAACCCAACTAAATAAACTTCATTGTTCCGTAACATGCAGAAATGTCAATCAGATTAATAGAATTTCAAAGCACATTTTACCCTTAGATGCATTTTGCTCAATTCAAGTTTCATTTTTCTCTAAATTAATTTTTTTTAAAATCATTAAGTGTTGTCTTGCATCACCAGTTTACATTACATTCAACTTTGGGACCGCTTAAAAATGACACATGTTTTCTACGCAACTGTAAGAATAAAAACACAAATGGAGAACAGATACAAAATTGAAGTAGAGGAACTGTTTAGGGTAGTAGAAAAAGATTAAAAGGTACCGCCTTGGAAAGCATCGTTCCCGAAAAGATCGGAGATTAGCAAATCCAGAAATCAGAAAATTATTCACGGTTTTGACAGCGCTAATTTAATTTTTTCAGCTTGTTTGAAGAATTGAGTAATGATTTTAAAATAAACAGTTTTAATTGACAGCTTGAGTCATTGAACAGATACTGAACCAATCTCACTAATGCATTATATAACTTTGGTTGGAAAAAACCTCACAGACTTACAAATTGCAACAAATCAAACTCTTATTCATCCAAACTTTATTGACACAAGAATCATAAAGCAACTTAGACGAGTCTATTGTTTAAACTGCGCAACTAGACCTGTATCAAGTTCTAGCGGTTAAGTCACCTTTTGTTTAACCTTATAATGAACTTGAGCTCGGCAATTCACTATAAATCTCAAATTCTTAACCCTCGGTGTTACAACAGTTGTGCTGCTTAAATATTCAGATTTCCTAGAGGCTTTTTGCAATTCTAATTTATTATTTTCGTATTCGTATCTATCACTTGTCCCGTTAATTAGTGGAACTAAATACTCGGTAAAATAATTTTCATAATTTTAATTCGTAGACAAGAACGGTCGGAAGGTTCAAAACAGCCAACCGCTTTAATAATCGGTAGAGGACTTTACAGGAGATATCAAGGGCTAAGGAGCTATATGTTTATTAAAAACAGATTTCTTTGATTGTTTAAATACAAAATTAAGAAGTTTAACAAAACTTTTACACATGAAAGATATTGTCAGTGTTTGCGCGGCAGTGAGCTTGAATAAAATTTATAAATTTATAAGCTGGCACCTTGCTCTAAATAAGAAGACCTTGGCCTCAAAAAAACATAAGTAAGACAACGTTTAAATCTTACTACAAACTTATTTAACTTGATACTATCGGCCTTGAAAGTGAAAATCTTAGTGACTAAGATATAACTATTCTCAAATTCCTGAATACGGCTATAACTTTATTTGAGGCCATTTCATTTTAGAACAATGATTCTTCAACATATTGAAACAAGCGCGATAAACGGTTAAAAAAATTACCAGAGAAACCATTGATATAAATGTAGGTTGAAAACCGCACACCTTAGATGCAAATCCCGTTTGTTATTTGTCTGCTGCTTGTTGGTGTTCGTCTCCAAGCTCCATCCGATATCCTCGTTAGAACATCTAAAGGAGCGATACTGGGGAAACATGTCAACCTTGGTAATGATCAAGAACAGCTCTATTATGGTGAAGCGGACATCTTTCTTGGAGTACCATATGCCAAACCACCTGTTGGTGAATTGAGGTTTAAGGTTAATATTAAACGGTTTTACCTAATAACTGCCCTGTCAAGTGCGACTAATTGAGATACTTCACTGAAATACTGCCAACTCTAAAGAAGCTCTATAAACTAGTATGTAGGATACATATGACCAAGAGAGTGATTGATTACTTACTGTTTTTGCAAGCGGTTTGAACGTACTGTTGTTGTATTTCAAACTAACCAACACCAGCATCTAAAGAATATTTCAGATTTGGAAAACCAAATAAAATGTATACTTCTTTTAGAAACCAGAGGAAGTGGATACTTTCAATGGGGTTTGGGATGCCACCAAGTTCGCTCCCAGATGTTTGCAAAATGATGACCCATTACAACCATTTCCCAGAGAACTGAACATGAGCGAAGACTGCCTCTACCTGAATATTTTTACCCGACAAGTTAAAATTTTACCAACACCTACTTCGTTAAATAAAGTGCCAGGAAAATAAATATCTATAATCTAGGCGTCGAATGCAAGAAGCAATCCTGTGATGGTTTTTATCAACGGTGGTAATTCGTTTACAACAGGCGGAAGCAATCCAAAACACATTAAAGGAACGATTAGGAACTTTGTGATGAAAGACATTGTTGTAGTTACTATTCAGTATCGACTTGGTGCTTTAGGTGAGAAATATCCCATTGCATTATAAAATGTTGCCCCGAGGAAGGCAAGATTGTATGTATTATTCTATTTCTTAAAGGTTTTTTCACTACACACAGCGACGAATTTCCACCCAACCTTGGAATGTTAGATCAAGTGAAAGCACTTGAATGGATCAAAAAAGAGATATCACATTTTGGTGGCAATCCTGATGAGATAACGCTATGTGGGCAAAGCAACGGAGCATGTAGTGTTAGTGCACACACTTTGTCTCCTGTTTCACAGAGTAAGATACGACTGCTCCTCTTTTATTTTTTCATTCAGTAGCTTTAATCTTAATTTTAAAGTTTTTTGACTGTACTTAACGCTTATCTTTTAGGACTGTTCAAAAGAGCAATTCTCCAAAGCGGAAGTATTCAAGGTTGTTTTATCATTACACCCGAAGGAGCGACTATTGACCTAGAGACAAGCGAAGGTATCCACAGGCAAATCAAGATTGATGAAAGTTATTTCGGAACCATAGACCAAAACCTCCTAGTCCCACCACCAACAGCAGCACCCAACCAAACTTCTTCTGACACCCTTTCAAACCTTCCAAATTCACCGGCCGACTCTGAGCTTACGACACCGACAACAACAACAACAACGACAACATCAGCCACAACAACGATTACAATGGAAGCCTCGATGACAGCAGTACGGCCCGAAACTCTCACTCCCAGCACCACAGATCATTCCACCCAAAACCCCCCTGCGAATGACAGTAATACAAGTCCAAATAAAGCAAGTGAAACATTTGCATCTCAGGTAAGAAAAAAATTATGGTTATAACCGACAATATCAAAGTCTGCAAAAATGTTTCTTCCTTCAAACAAAGAGCAGATTGCTTCAGGCCTGCAATATGACAGCAGAAGAATGGCGAAAAGGACAAATTCAAAAGCTTCAGTCATGCCTTCACAACCTCACATTTGACGTATACTTGAAAGTAGATGGGGTAACAGAAGTTTTAAAAACATTTCAAAGTACTCCCTTACACCACAAAAACAGTAAAAAAATTTCAGACTCGTACGAGTGCCTGGATGATAGTGCAAGACAATTATTTCATGCCTGACACAGTAGAAAATTTAGCAAAAAAGCGTCCGAATATACCAATTATCATAGGAACTGTCCAGGATGAAGATGCTAGCTATGGTAGCTACCTCCTTAGACAAAACTCCAAAAACTTTTTAATTTTACAAAGAGTTTTACTGGGTATCAACTAAAAACTCGTTTTAGCTTTTAAACTTGTCGCTAACGGCAATGTAACGAAACCTGATGAAATTTTTAATAACTGGTTTGCCGATTTTGCTATGCAGAAAAATATAAAAGGAGATACTGCAGAAAAAGTAAGTTACAAAACCACTAAACTGAATAATAATATTAAAAAATCACTGGCAGAAAAACTCACCAGCCTCTACGATTCACAATAGGAATTAAATACAATTCCCAAACTTTCGAATTAATAGGTCTTCTTTTCAGATGCGAAACACCATAACCCACAGTTATAACGTTTCAACTCAATCGGTAAAAAACAGCATTTTTTCCTGCTGTTTTATCGAATTTTCCTAATAATTTTATAATTCTAGACGTCTCAACAACAGCCTAACGTTCACACTCCCGCAATAGAAGAAACTACGCGGTTACCAGAAATCACAACTACTACTGGTCTGTTGCACTATCGAGAATTTGGCACCACTCGCGCATACTCTCCAAGGTAACGTTGCACAGTCCTAGCATTAGTAAAAACTGTAAAGACTAATTGTCCGTCGCAGTTTACCAAACAAGTGGAAGGACTAACAATTCAAAGGGTAATCAACTTCAAATACTAATCTTAGGCATAGACTTTCGGAGCTCTTGCAAACTGACAGCCTCATACGCCGTCAGTCTGCCAGAGCTCCAGATTTTCTACAGACTGCTTTAACCTACGCAGCTGAGAATCAACTGTCTGCCGTCACAATCTGTCGTATGACGACGGGACAAGCGACAGTTGTTTTCTTGTTACGCCCAGCAAAGCGTTACTAAACAACTTGAAATCACAAGTATTAACCAAACACCGGAACTCTGGCGGAAAAAAAGACAAAGTATTGCAGTGAAGAGAGCACTATTAATGAAAGCAAGTGGACCACAACCGAAAACCTAACTACTTTCGTGTCTAGCGAAGTTGTCACGTATAACTACCAGCAGTCATCGACAGTTTCGTCTATCCAAACCGCTCTAGAAAACCAAAGCACAACTGTTCCAAGGGAAACCGAGCAATCTACGATGAGCGCAAGCCAGGTCTTCTAACTCACATGTCGTTTCAATCGGAGAGTGAAAAAAATTAGTAAAACTAACCCAAGTCTCTCTTTAACCAAAACTACACCCCTTCAGCTACACCCGATAATTTAGAACCAACTTTTTACAGACTTCATCACCTGCGTCTTCTTCGACTAAAGGTCTTCATTACAGTCAAACATCTGTATCCCCTGTAGAATTCACCACAGAGAACCTCTACATGCCAAGCCCAACATCACCAGCTTCATCGAGCAGTCCATCTCCCTTGAATGAACAAACTTACAGACAAACAACGCACTCTGTTCATCCAAAGACAATCGAAGTCACCTCGACAGCAACAAGCACATATGTCCCTACTAGAGAACACATTAAAGTTTTGTTTGATTCGGAACCGAGTAGCACAACTTCTATACTAGTAGAACAAAGCCTCTCCCCTAGAACCGACTCTTCATCAACCGCTCTGCCACTTACCTTGCAGCCTTCCTTTGAACCTACAGCAAAAGAAGAAACCACACCAAGCACTTCTGTGCAGCGACCTACTTCTCATGAATACTCAACATCTGAAACCACAATCAGTACTACTTACGAAATTACAACTCAAGAAAACCTTCAAGTAACCTCATTTCAATTTTCGACAGGCCTGCCGTCTCCTGCTGTAACAACGGCGAAGACAACCGGAGAAACATCTGCTTCGCATAACGAGTCCGTTACTGATGAAGAAACATCTTTTTCATCGGAATCAACCGTAACAATGCCTTTGACATATCAAACTTCCCAACAAGTACTCTCTTCGCCTTCACCAGTTTTTTTTAACCACGGGGAAGGTACTCACTCAGTAGCAACAGCGACAACCGGAGAGTCACAAACATCTGCTTCACTTGATCAGTTCGCTACCGTCGAAAGAGTATCCTCTCATACATGGCAATCAGCCACAACATTGCCTTACACTCACCAAACGCCCCAACAAGTACCCTCTTCGCTCCATCCAATATATGTCACTTATGAAGGAAGCTCCTCCGAACTTCAGACTTCTTCACCTCATGCATCAGTAGAAGCGACCACTGAGGAATCGTCGTCACTCAGCAACACTGTTCAAGGTGTCAATGAAAGTGAATTAACTCGTCACCCACCGCTGTCTACAACGCAGTCAATTTACAATTACCAAACTTCTGAATCAGAAGTTGTTTCAGGAGAAACATATACAACATTAGCACATACTACAGGTTCTGAACCGCTAGCAGCAGCCCAACAGCAGTCGCCACCAAAACAAACAGCTTATTATTTTCAAAGCACTACAGCAACTGATCAACAGACAGCGAGCACTGGCACTAGTTTTTATTCCGTTAACAATTATCCCAGTCCACAGCCACAGTATAGTTTACAACCGCAACAAACCTATACCGAAAATATATCGACCTCTCAGCACCCCACTGCAAATCTTCCAGGCACTTTACCAACAGAGCCGCGAGATTCATCTCAGTATTCATCAAGTGAACCTGTAATACCCAGTAGTAAGGAGATCCCAAGTACGCCACTACCAGAATATACGCTGCACGACGAACCAATGGGATCATCTCGTCAAAAACTGTTCACCTATGAAGAATTGACAACTGCGACGCCAATTAAAACGCCTTCAAACGCTGAGGAACAGCAAACTGAAAGAGCTACAGCACATCTCGCAGACGTGACCGCATCATCAGTGCCACAACACATTAGTCAAGCAAGTCATTTTGAGTCACCTTCTACTGCTTGGCATGACTATTACAGTCAACAAACGATAGAGCCACGCTATAACATAAGCACTCATGAAACACCCTCAACAAGCACTTATAGTACAATTGCTCCAGCTTCTCTCTCACCTGTTCAGCTCCCTACAGCTGTAGCACAGATCTCACAAATTTCTCAAACACAGAACTTCCCTGGTCACTTCCAACAGCATTACGTTATCCAGTTAAACTTCCCATGTCAACTTGACCCTCCTTGTAAATTTAATGCAGACAACACACCGATAGGTGGTCAGGTAGACAGAATTCAAAACAGTCCTGCAGTACCAGTAATTCAGAGCCAAAATCAGCCGCCCCAACATAACGATTATGCACCCGCTAATCCAAATGTTTATTATAATAGCAATCAGAATCACGGACAACCTAACACGATCCCCATTTCCAGTTACCTGCAAGACTATAGCCCAGAAAATCCTGCGCTTATTCCAAACAGTGGAAGAAACGACGGTGTATTTCTAACTCCAAATACTCGACAAATAGGACCCCCTCCAGTCCAGTCCTACCAGAATGCAAGAATTCCACAAAACGTCGACAGAAATTCAGTAATTGATAGCCTGAAAACCATCACGCAAGTGAGTGATGTGTGAAACAATTGACAACATCAAAAGATATAGCTAAACATATAATCAACATTTCTTCCGTAACAGAATTAGCCGTTTCTTTACAGATCTCATCTGATGCCGGAGTTGTGAGCGATGTTTCGAAAGAAATTGACTCGCTAGTTTCAAATGGAAACAACAATGTTCGTGTGTTCCAGTTTGTTCATGTCACTCAAATAGGATGTGATCGAACTCCAGAGCTACATCCGTGGCAACGTCTGTTCAATAACTTTTCCAAAAATCTTCTTTAAATGCGATGTTTCTTCGCAAGTACAGTTCCATGAAATTTTTGACCTCTGCGACCTTTTAGCTGTTTACCAAGGTGTCGATGTTCTATTTTTATGGATGGACGAAGATGCTTGGTCAGACCCGACTAAAGTTACTTCCAAAGATATCGAAGTGGCTAACGACCTCAGCAACAAATGGGCTGAATTTGTGAAAACAGGGTACCACATAATTTTTATCCACTTTTTAGTAACCTTTTGCATGCCGATATATTCTGACTGTATTATCAGAAGATATTTAAGACTTGCAGTTTCTAAAAGTTACCTAATGTAAAATTAAGATCAAAAGTGTCAGCAAAATTACAGTGGTTAGAAGTTTCAGAGTTGTGTCTAACTGGCAGCCTACTACGCAACAACAGTATCAGTATTGCCGTTTAAATAACAACCCACAAATGCAAGACAACTATGGCGAAAAGGCACGACAAGTATTTAAGCAATTTACATCACGATCAGCAAATTCGCCGGTAAACTCTCCATATGGCCAACGTATGAAACAGTTATAAAAAAAAAACTTGGAAATGTACAACCGTATTTGCAGCAAAACTCCCAACCTGTGCCGGCGCAATCTTACTACTCACAACAAATTCCACAACCTGTACAGGGCCAATTTTACCCACAAGAAAACCAACCTATGCTGGCACAACCTTATTACTCACAACAAGTTCAGCAACCTGTACAGGCGCAACCTCATTTACAGCAAAACTCTCAAGCTATACAGGCTCAGTCCTATCCACAGCAAAATCCTCAACTGGTGCAGGCACAATCCAGTTTACAGCAAAACCCTCCATATATACCTAATCAAGCAATTAAAACTACAGATGAACGGCTTCCGCGCCAACACGAAAATGCACAGTCAAATTCAAAAATTAGTTGGTCAATATCAATGTCATTGCCCGATTTAATCATTAATTTTTAATAAAGCTTTAATATTATTAAAGTATTTATATAATTTATATATTGCAAATTACTCGACAGCAAAATTGACAACCGTTTATTAACTTATATGCTGATCTCTAATAAAAATATGATATTTTATACAAAAAGAAAATGGCCATAGCAGTTACTTGATGAAATTAAGTTATTATTATATGTTTATCTATAATTAAAGTCCTTTTATATGATACAAAAATTATCATATGAAACCAAGTTTTATGAAATAAAATGTTTGTTGTTTCGTTGTGCCGGTTACGAAAAGATCTAGAAAATATTAAAAAACTGTATATATGGAGCAGAAAGTTTTATTTTTGCAGTGAAGAGGCTGTTCACAAAATAAATCTTTTTAAAACTTAAAGGTTCAAAACAGGGTTTTTTCCTAGTAACTGTTTGTTTCATAACTGTTCCTAACTGTCCATTTGTAAAACTGCTGTGCATATGTGATACTAATCCGGAAAAATGAGTAATTTCAGCACGGTTCTTGTAATAGCTTTATTATAACAGCAAACAAAAAAGAATTCTTATGCTGATGAAAAAAACTTTTCAGTATAACGTACTTTTTTGACTGTTAGGGCTGATAATTTATTCCCACCAATAAATGAAATATTATCAGAAAAACCATCCTCAAGAAATATAATTTCGAACGTAAATTTAAATTAATTTTAAAAACATGATTTTGAAGAGGTGAAAGAAGGTTCGTTGTATCCACGGTACCATCACGGATCTTCAGCTTTTGAAATCTTGGTGCCACTTTGCTGCGGAAGCGCTGTACTTTCAGCAGCCATCTAACAAAAACAAGGGCAGAATCTAGAGAATTAATGAAGTTTTATGAAACCGAGTTTTTGCACTACGCTGGACTTCATTTAGATTTTTTAAAGCTGCTAGCAACTGCCCAAAAGTCCTGACTTGAGAATTTAGATTTCAACAATGCTCACATGCGCAAATACATTCGAGTGTTCAGCGTAAGCTGAACTTCCTTCTATATTCCTACCTCTACTATGCGTAATATGTTAAATTGCTGGAGTGCATCCTTTGTTGTTACTTCCATTAGGTGTCAGTTGATTCATTTTAAAAGAAGAAAAAGGGTACGGCATCTGTACCAATTCTTGTTTTTCTCCACTTCCCACTCATCCTCCCCAGCAACTCCGAGCAGGGATGAACTGTTATTTTATGCTCAAAGAAGACTGACGAAGAGCAAATCCAGTTGTTGATACTAAAATAAGCAACATTTCATACGAATAAGGGACATATTTATCTATTCATTCAATCTCATCATTTCCGTCTCACCATTTTGCCGACCTTCATTGCCTAGTAGAAGTGGCCTGGCAACATAAAATCGACCCAGACAATAGCCACAGTTACGACTCTTCATGACAGAAGGTGAAAAGTTCAAAAGTCCCCAAAGAAACCGAGATTATTCTCCAGAAAAAAAGTCATTAAGATAGAGGAAGAATTAGCTGCTACGAAGTTATACCTCTCAGAACTGTAGCAGCACCAAAGAGCCTGAAAACCTCATGCCAGATCCAACCCAACCGTTGGCTCTTCATAAGATTTCATATTTCATCTAGAACTACTGCTATCTCACCGCGATGCCAGAAGAATATTCTAGATCCAGAAAACATCCGTAGAGTAACATGAACTAATTAAAAAGGAAGTAGAGAAGCTCATTTCAACACAAGTTTCTTAGCTACTTAAATGAACGACCTCAGTACAGTTGCCGAATTGCAATGCTTCACGGTTTAATCAAATTCATTAATCGAATGTAAATGAATATATTAAGAAAACACTCCATTATGAACAATTCGACAATGGAAAAGATAATAAGCAAACTTATATGACAATAAAAAGTTTCTCAAAAACTTTCAGAAATTATATATGTCAAAAAAAGTTTAACTTTTCAACTTTTCTAGTCGACTGTTTAATTTATCAATATCCACCGATACTTTACCAATCGCTTCTGCCATTTGTTGTTTAAAGTCTAAAACTGTTAACCTTTCACCATCAATTAACTTCAGTAGTTGTGCACGAACTCCAACCAATTCTGACAGATTTTTGTTGAATAGCTGAGCTAAAAAAAATAGTAGAAAGAAGCAAGAATCATAAAAATTAAGCGAAAATTATAGCTGTATCATTCTTCCCAATATAACATTAATGGCTTCTTACCCTGCTCATGGAGTCTATTTAAGTCGCAAACTCGCTGCACCACAGAAGGAAGATTTGTACACACTTCATCCCATTTCATCATTAGGGTGTACAATGAATCAACTTTTTGTTCAAACTCTGAATCCACCTTATCCCTCTTTCTTTCATCTACCTAAAACACAAAAAACACACTTTTTAAAACTCTTCTATTAACTTCAGCCATCCAAAATCAGTGACAGTGAAAACGTTTACTTCTGTAAAAGAAAAGGTCAAATGGAGTGTACATCAATCAAACAGAAAAAAATATAGTATCTTAAGAATAACAAGAGATTTTTGGTATTAATGCGGTGCTTTTTTTTAAGAAACAATAATTATATGGTAATGTTAAATAAAAAATTCTTGATTAAAAAGACCTGCGGCCTTTCTTCAATGAAAAGGTTAACACATTTCAACTATGCAGTTAGATCTTAACTAAAATTAGAGGACGAATCAGAACTTTCGGTTGAGAGTGTATTGAGAAAAGAGTTCTTTAGGGTCGCAAACAAAAGAGACAAAAGTCGTGCTTACTTCTCGTAATTTTGCTAAAACTTGATTTAACCGCGCATGAATTCCATCTGCATTGCTCGGATTGAGCATTTGTACCCGCATTCGGAGATCCTCCATAATTTCAGCTAAACCTGTACGAGCTTCCGTTTTCGAAAAATCATCTGCAGCGTCTGCTCCTCCAACGAAAACCTCTACACGTCTTAAACGTTCTTCCAGGTTCAAAAAACGATTCTCGTCTAATATAGTCTGGGAAGGGGCTCGTAAGCTAAAAGGTCATATCCCTTTTTAGCTACATCATAGTGTTGCAGTTCCAACCAGAAAGACGAGTGCCTATGTGAAATTTTACAAGTGCTTCTTTAAAAACGACCATCACTCCTCTCGTTAGCAGTCCTAATAGCTAAAATTTTCCAAGCTGCCATTCTTTTGTACAGTTCAAATAAAGTAAGTGATTCTGCTTTTTCCTAACTAAAAGGACACAAACTAACCTTGGCTCTTTCGGCACCACATTGCACGTTGGCTTACTTCCTGCTTGACATGCTTTCAAAGTTGCCAACATAGACACAACATCATTATAATCAATACCCTCACTACCTTCACGACCTCCTTCTTTCTCCTAAAAATAATTTAAGTGTTTACCAAGACCTAAGACTTTTCAGTAAAAAATATAAAGTAAAGGTAAATGAAAACTGTTAATTATACAAGCCTGATGTTGAACTTTCCAAAACAAAAAGAACCTGCTTCTGTAAAGTCTCCAAAAGATCGTTTAACTCAAAACTTAAACGGCTAAATTTCTGCCTTAAAGTCTCCGATTCGCCAGATTCGGGCCCTACTACTTCGAGAACATACGCACCGCTCCCATACCCTACCCGCCGTCGTCTGTCTATTGAGTCAGAGAAATCTAAAAAGTAGCGTGAGAAAAAACTTTTCTACAAAAATTTATCGGACCTCTATACAAACAAAAATTAAAAAAAAACAAACGGACCAACAGTATTAGCATCCAACAGACGTCCTTGAAAGCGTTTCAGTGCAGAATCTACATCGATATGTATCTTCTGAACGTCTGAAAATAAGAAAATATTTTGGAAGCCGATGGTAATCAAAGCACACCGGACGACTTCTTTGGAAAGCTACGCGAAATGAGCAGTTCAAGAGAACAAAAAAAACGGGTTTAGAGATGGGCATGCCTAAATTCAATAACATCCAAAAGAAATTGTGAAAAATCTCAAATAAAAGTCGAGAAGTGCTTTAGAGTAAGCTATAACAACGGACTGTTTGGTTTGAATGCTCATAACAGCCCAGGAACCTCCCCAAACCTTCTGCAAGAGTTTAAAAAAGAAAATACCTTCCGACTCGTAAGCTTCTTCCTGTCGTACATACTGATCAACCTCTGGCAGATCTTCCGTTTCGTAAACGTCTTCCTTTTGCAAAGACATCTGTCAAAAAAAAATCGTTTTGCTAATCAATTTCGGCTTACACCTTAGAGTCTTTTAAAACTAGGATTCAGCGAATCGTAAAGAGTTTCCACAGGATATTCATGCTTTACTGCTCGTCACAGTTAACTTTTATCTAACCTTCTGTACAGAAATACGATAAAAAACTCGTAAGATATAAAAATCAAATCCTAAGCTACGCGCCCT